ACACACACACACACACACACACACACACACACACACACACCCCACCCAAGAATGTCCTCAGTAAGGTTCTGTTCATTCTGAAGGTGCCAGCTCTCAGTTTCTTCATTGGGTGGTGGTTACAGGCTTCAGTACTCAGCCTTGTGAAGTCAGCCTCATTTCAGAGTGTAAAATTGTTCAAACCCAAGATTTTACCACCTAAGAAAAAGACGTGTGGGCTATTTGCATTTTGCATCCCAAGGTCACTTRTTCTCCTGTTTTTAATGTGGCTTTTTATGTTCATTATGGAATATTCTGGTCCCACAAATAGTTTTCTGTTTTCTAGAACTCTGGATCACCACTAATGAATGTGCCTGCTTTTTCTCTTTAATTGTGAAATTTTCTTAGTGGCTTTTCATAGACGGTTTTCATGACATCATGGGAAGTGCCTCCCTGCTGGTTCATTTATGGTGGAGGGAGATTGTCAGAGTTCCCTTGATAAAATGTTTATGGGTTTAAGAGGTTTATGGATCAGCTGTAAATATTTGCTCTGGGTTTATGAGACCTCTCCTCATAAACACAGTGTGTGTTTATCTATTGCTCATTGAAATGTCTTTGGAGAATCAGCTGCTTGGGGAGCCCTGGCCTCAGGGTTATGTGGGACAGTTTTTTAAAGGCCCTATTATGACTAACCCTAAATTTTGTATGTGGCTTTTATTATTCAAACAGCATGGTTAAGGTTACCAGTGCTGGGTGTAAGGTTTTTATTTTTAAAGTCCCATTCTAGGTCTGACTTTCAGGGTATTTGACAAAGTGTTTTCCCTAGGCCAGCAGAGTGGCCGTGCCTCCCTGGCTGCTGGGGAGACACAGTGGACTGTCTAACCTCCTGGGCAGCTTGACTGAATGAACCAGCAAGCACCAAGGAGCACACAGCTGGCTACCTGAGGAGGGACTGGAAATGGAGTTTGCAATAAATTAAAATTTGGTGGTAAAATAAATTTTTGGTAAAATACGAAGAAGCATAGACTAGAAAGGTATGAAGGCTAAAACACTGCGACAAATGGTCTCAAAGGTGAAGGGAGAAACCAGCCTTGGCACCCCCTGATCTGAAGTGGTGAAATCACCCACTCTTGGCCTGAGACCCTGTTGAGGTTCACCAGGCCTCTTTCGGATTCCAGGGTAGGCGGTGGCCAGGACCTGCAGCTCCACTGCCCTGTGAGTGTTCCTGATGTGAAGGACCTGGCCCGCCCAGCAGGAGAGCCCCTTCCCTTTTCCACAGCTGTTGTATTCAGGACCTGCAATGCCAGACTCTCCCCTGGCTTCTCCTGCAGTGGCTGCTGCCTCCTGCTTACTGCATCGGGTCATCTGGTTGTGGAATGTTTTAATGCTCCCCAACATGGTGACGGGTTGGCCTTGGAGGGTCCCACAGATCAGAGAAATGGGTAGAGGTGGTGGTGGAGGCTTCTGAGGCCTAGTGCAGGCAGAAGAATGAGGGGAAGGCCTCTTAACCCAGTAAGTCCTGTGGTTTCAGATGTGGCACATCTGTAACAGCTTCACTTGGCAACAGATCTGCCACTTATGGTGCCTTTCAAAAATAAATGTTATGTTTTTAGAATTCTGTTCTTTGGAGAAAATAGGTGAGTGATGAAAACATTTGAATATATATGTGTGTATATATGTGTGTGTGTATATATATATATATATATATATATATATATATGTATGTATATATATATATATCCTATGTACATATAGGATATACAAGCTCTAGGGTATTTTTTTTCAACGTATTCTAATGCATCTGTGCAAATTTCATTGCATTATTTATGGAATTGAAAACTTGGCACTTAACAATTATTAAGAGTTCCAGCTTCCTAATCAGGAGGCCTGCATTGGACTCTGCCTCTGCTCCCCCTGTGATTGGGTGATTCCCTAACCTTTCTGAGCTTCTGTTAGCTCTTCTGTAAGTAGCCATCTGTCAGGTTCTTGGCAGGATTATGAGCTCATGCTACACTGGGCACCTACCTAGTGTGGACACCCAAGCCCACTGTGGCTCATAGGATGTTCCCATAGTGTGTTGTGATCATAGCTCACAGGGGCTGCAGGAAGGCAGGGTGTGACTGAGGTCAGACAAGTAGTGTGGGAAGAAGTTCTGGACTCTTGTCTCCAGCAGGTTTGCAGTCCTCAGATACTGCACGAGGACATTTTGGCAAATCCCATAGTGCTGAGTTGATATCTGATTAGTGCCTTGGAAACTGCTTTCCAAGATTGAGTAATTGATGCCTAGTACTGTTTGGGGAGAAGGTAGTGTGGACAGAGTTTTCAGGTGCCACTCTGAGGTGTTTTCCAGAATAAAACTGTGCTCTCTTTGGGTGGCCACTTGTTAGATATAGTACTATTATGCTAATCAGCATGTTGAAAGCAGTATTTACCCTTGCCAGTGAAACTGGCTTTTGTTTATAAAAGATAGAAGGATTGAACATCAGCATCGCTTGAATATTGTTGTGGAAGAGAATCTATACATTTGAAGTTCTTGTTTGCATATTTGGGCAGCTCTTATTATTGTATGTTCTTTCCTTATGATAGCCTTGCAAATAGATTCAAATAATGTATACAGTTTCTGAGCTCTTTGGGGTGACATTTATGCCGTCTACTTCTTATAGTGCAATACTCGGTGCTTTTCAATTATACAAATGATGTCTTACATGCTGCCTCAAATGTTTCGGGAATTGCTTGATTTCCGTTAGCACCTGACCTTGTACATCTGTGCAAATTAAAAGTAGTTTTGATTTTAGCAGGACATGGTGGCACATGCCTGTAATCCCAGTGACTCCGGAAGTTTTAGGCAGGAGGATTGCAAGTTTGAGGCTAGCCTCAGCAACTTAGCAATACTCGGTCCTAAAATATAAAATGAAAAGGGCTGGGGTTCAATCTCCAGTACAAAAAAAAAAAAAAGTTATGATTTTAAGACCTGTGTTGTGCATTTGACTGTAGTTTTCYTTTTTTTTTTTTTTTTGTGATTGGAGAAACTGGTGTGAGTGGCCCTTAGAGCTCTCTCCCAGCTGGAGACATGTCCATAACTGGGTATCAGGAGTGTCTGGCAGCTGCTGTATTTCTGTTGCTGGCTTGTCAGGTGGCTCATAGTCACGGACCTCCATTTTTTTTTCCTTCTCAAATGTCACTGGAGTCACTATTTCTTTTCTTTTCTTCTGGTACTGGGAATTGAACCCAGGGGCTCCTCTACCGCTGAGCCACATCCTCAGCCCTTTTTATTTTTTTATTTTGAGATACTGTCTTGCTAAGTTGCTTAGAGCCTTGTTGGATTGCTGAGGCTGGCTTTGAACTTGTAATCCTCTTGCCTCAACCTCCCGAGTTGCTAGGAGGCATGTGCCACCCTGCCCTGCTGGAGTCCCCGTTTCTAACATCCCTTATGGCACTAACAGTCAAGGAGAGTTGCATCTCCAGGATGCAGCCATGGGGCAGATAGGGTTGGTGTCAGTATCATTGGTATACTCAGTGATTGAATGTTCCCTTCCTCCGTTCTCCAGCCTTCCCAAAGCCTGGGGTGTCTATCATGGTTAATTTCAAACAAATACAGTACCTTGTAGCAAATCAGCCTTAGACAGGCCTCATTCATTTGCTGAGAACACCAAGGTTACTCTTGGCTTTGGGGGTGGGGTCAAAGCAGGATCTGGCCAGTTTTCTTCCTTGGTCACCTTCTCCACAGTCAACATACTGGAGCTCTGCAAAGAATTCAGCAGTGTCCTCCTAAACCACTGAATGAGTTTATCTCTTGGTTTTCTGGTCCCAGTCAAAGGCCAGTGCCTCCCATCCTCTACCCTCGTATTGATGCTCCTTTTTTTTTCCTCCCACAGAAGAAGGTTCAAGCTTGGACGAAATCGGCTTTAACTGGGGAGAATATCTGGAAGAGACAGGTGCTCGGGCGGCTCCTCACACATCCTTCAAGCATGTAAGTGAAGCAGCTGTTTCCTGTGACCTGGCCGGGGTGGGGGGGTGGGGGCTGTGCAGGGCAAAGGCCAAGTACTGAACTGATCCAAAGAAGAAGGAAAAGAGGAAATTCAGGCATGGTTTCTTAGGAAGAAAGAGATGAGGAAGTTCCAAACCAGGCGAGTAGGTTGCACTCATAATGTCTCCATTATGGTGTGTATTATTGAACTGATATTTTGATTTTGAAAGGACACATRCATATAATAGCCATCTGTGGGCAGATGAATCAAAAGAGAGGACTAACCATAAATATTCTGAAAGCATTTAAATCTAATCCGAAGATCATTCTCATTAACAGTATTTCTTTGAATAGTGCACATAGCCTGTTCATCAGAGGACAAGTCCCAGGAAATTAAAAAAAAAAAAAAATTGAGTTTCTATCAGAATTTTGCTTAGGTGTGAAATACTGATTCAATATCATTAGCAAGGAAAAGATGAGATTTCTAAGACCCAACCAAGCTCTTAGGCAAGACTCTTGTCTTAGTAAATGAAAATTTAACTCTGAGAAATCTGTTTTCCCCTGGGCTCAGGATAGAGATTCACCTGACATTCAGAAGCAGGTTGGGRCACTTTTTAACTTTCTTTTTGGCTCCTGACAGAATGAGAAAGCCAGAACTTTGATTCTTTATTTTAACAAAACATTTAATTCTTTTTGGAGGTGAAGAGTTTTTTTGAAAAGGAACTTTGAGACCTTCCTGGATTTGTGTGCCCTTATAAAGGGACAATGCATTCCCGTTTCTCTTTTTGGGCTTGTCGTATTGTAGTTGATTATGATGGTGACCATTTACTGAAATCCAACAGCTGAATATTTTTGTTTTCTTTTTCCTTTTTTCTTGGTACAAGATTGAACCCAGGAGTGCTTGAACACTGAGCCACATCCCTAGACGTTTTTATGTTTTATTTTGAGACACGGTCTCACTGAGTTGCTAAGGGCCTTGCTAAGTTTTTGAGGCTGTCTTTGAACACCTGCTCCTCCTGTCTCATTCTCCCAAGTTACTGGGATTACAGGTGTGCGCTAACACATCTGGCCCAAGAGCTAAATATTAAAAGATAACAAGACCAGAGCTTTCCTGGCATAGAGTGGATAATGTCCTGCAAAAGCCATGGTAACACGTGTACCTTGAGGTGCTGGGGTGCTTTGGCAGTTTCCTTAAGGCAGTGGGGTCAGAGATGCTGGTTGGCAGGGTTCCCTTCCTTCCTGTACCAGGAGGGCCTGCCTCAATTCCTCTCTGGGAGTCACCCCCATCCTTGATTCATTAGTTCTCCCCTTCCTTGCAGTCACAGTGGAGTGTCCTGGCAGCAGTGAGGGCCTCTGTCCAGGCTTTCCCCAGACCTGYGCGCCAGGTTTAAGGGAAAAGTAGCATCGGACCCACGGAGGAGAAATTTTTGATTGTATCATCTCCTCTAAGTGCCTGTTGCTTAAAGCAGCACATGTGTCAGCTTTGGAATATTGATACCTCCAAGCCTGGAAAACTCTTTTTGGAGGAAGGAGGAGAAAGGCTGGTATTTCAGTGCAGCATAACCCTTTATTTAAAAAAAAAAAAAAGGAGACAAAAGTAAGTGTATTCTCTAGGCTGGGGCAGTTCGTCAGAATCCACTGGCTCACAGAACTGTTGAATATTGGAAAAGTGTGTAGCCCACATCTGGGTGTGGACCATGTGTAGAACATAAGAACAGATTTGGGACCCTTCATTTGAACAATTTGAAAAAAAAGAATACCTCATTCTCCTTTCTTGTATTAATGACATGTTGAACAATAATGTGCTGGACATAGGAGAAATTAAATATTTCTGAAATTACTTTTGTAAAAATTTTTTATTTTAATTTTTTTATTTRTTTAATTGTTTTATTTATTTATATGTGGTGCTGAGAATCAACCCAATGCCTCACACATGCTAGCCAAGCACTCTGCCACTGAGCCACAAGCCCAGCCCTGAAATTAGTTTTGTTTTATCATTTCTTTCCTCCAACGTGGCACCTAGAAGATTTAGCATTACATTTGTAGTTTGCATTATGTTTCTTTTAGACAAATACATTCCTGTTTTACAGCAACAGAAATACTGTGTTCAAGTGCTCTGTTTTCTGGCAGTTCTTGTCATGTTTTGGAAATGAGTATCTAGCATTAACAATGGTTTTCCTGTTTCTGCTCCTTAAGGTTGAAATCAGCATTCAGAGCAACTTCCAGCCGGGAATGAAATTGGAGGTGGCTAATAAGAGCAATCCAGACACCTACTGGGTGGCCACAATCATCACCACCTGTGGGCAGCTGCTGCTTCTGCGCTACTGCGGTTATGGGGAGGACCGCAGGGCTGACTTCTGGTGCGATGTGGTCATAGCAGATCTGCACCCCGTAGGGTGGTGCACCCAGAACAACAAGGTGTTGATGCCCCCAGATGGTGAGCCCACATATGGACGGCTTTGTCTTACACGGGATTGYCCTTCATGATGCCGAAGTCACTGTGAGGCACAGAAAACTTGGTAGAAAATCCTGAATGAACTTAGTGTAAAAGTCTACTAGCTTTTAAAAAATTGCTTCTTGGGTTTCATGGGGCGGGGGTGGACCACTGGGGTGAGGGTAAGTGGTGTGTTTTCACTTGTGAGGACTGGTCCTGACCCTTGAGCCAACTGTGGCCTTTAGAAGGTGAAAACATTGGAGCTTAATTCTCAAATTGCTTTTGGAGGGAGGAGAAAGCTGAAAGGATGTTTTCTCGTTAGTGACTGGTTACTGATTGGCATTCCTTCTGCTTCAGAGAGTCCACAGGTTGAACACAACTGTAGGCCTCTTACATACTCTTCTCTGAGTTTTAAATGGGTTTTTAAGAGTTGCATCTAAAAGACATTTGTGAGGGAGGCCTGAGGGTGTGAAGCATTTGGAGAAGTGGCATYCTCCAAGGGCTAGGACAGAGGTCACTTGTTCCCTGCTGGGAAGTTCTGCCCCCAGGGGACACATGCAAGATCCAGAAACAGTTTTGCTGGGGGATCTGGCAGGAGGGAGGGAGGTGCTGCTGACATCTAGTAGGGAATGCTGCTAACCCTCCTACAAGGCCCAGGATGCCCCTCAACCAAGCAGGGTCAGCTCCTTCCTGCTGTGGTGCAGAGGTTGAGAGACCCTGCTGGGAAGCCTGGGCTGTGTGCYCCAGAGACCTTGGAACTCACCTGGTTGGGTAGGTGTGAAAACCGAGTGCAGCCATGGACCTGACCTTTAGTGCACCCCTCTCTGCGTTGCATTATAGACTCCTGGCAGACCCTTGTGCCAAAGTCTTTCGAAGTCCCCTCTGCAGTATGTGTCATGTTCTCCTGGTACCTGCTACTTGCTTTTCTTTTGAGGTGACACATATGGTTTAGAAGTAACCATGATATCAGCAGTGGCCTCAGCTCTTAGAGCAATTTGAACTTTTTTTTTTTCTTAAGGTTATGATACATTGTTACCCCCCACTGCCTGGGGTTAACAGTCAGTTTTTTGTTTTTGATATTTGTACCACCTTTGTTTTGCATAATCATTAGCCTGCTAAGGAGGGAGTGGTAAAAATGGCCGGAATTTTTAAGAGTTGCATCTAAAAGACATTTGTGACAATTGTCAAGGTTCAATCCATCACCTGACCTTGCTGATGTCTGGAGCCTTTGTTGTCTCTGAAGAAAAGAGAAAGGGCCTTCCTCCTGTCCTTGCCTTGGATTTTTGCCTCTGCTCTCCCCTGTGCCTGGAACTTATTTTCTCCTTCTTCCTCCTTCTCTGCAGCTATCAGCTCGTCCCTCTCTTCTCCTGACCCTGAGGTTGGACCCTACCTGTACTCCCGTGGTTGTGGGGAGCCCTTAGTGTTGATCACTTTGCAACCACACTTTTTTTGGGTACAATTTTGAAATACAATCCACATATCATAAAATCCAGTCAGAGTGATTTTTAGTGTCTTTACAAGGTTGTGCAACCATTGTTATTATCTGCTTCCAGAACATTCTTGCTCCCTCACAGTCACTCCTCGTCCCCTCTCCCCATAACCCTTCATCTGCTTTCAGTTTCTGTGGACTTTCCCTGTGCTGACATTTTACATATGTGGAGCTGTGTCACAGTAGTTCTTTTGGTTGGTTTCCTCAAGGTCCACCCTTGTTGTAGCATATCAGGGTTTCCGTTCTACTTAAGCCTGAATAGCAGTCCATTGTGGATCTACCACATTGTGTTTCTCCCTTCATCAGCTGGTAGATGTTTAGATCCAGTTGTCCTTCCAGTGTGTGGTTCTTTGTCCAGGCCATCATACGGCCCTGGACAGTAAGCCCCATGGTGTGAGCACCTGTGTGGCCCTGTGAGGAGTTCTCAGTGACAGCTGAGTGAGCAATGCAGTGATCCCCTGAAGAAAGTRGAGATGCTGCTTCTGTAGGTGTCACCGTCACTGCTCGGGCAGGGAGTGCACGGACTGCCTAATCCTGCTTCCTTGCATTTTGAGTTTGTACTGCCCAGTCTTTCATCCCTCTCAAGGGGCACCTTTCACAGGAGCCCTGGAGAATGGTTGTTGGTCTCGCTTTGAACTCCCATTCATTCCATCTCTGCACCCATACATCCTGGGGTAAGGAGGCACTTAGCCCCAGACCCAGCCTAAGTTGGTCATAAATGCCATTTTTAGATCTGGCTTTGAAGTAAAACTGCCATTGAGGTGAGATGATTACAATGTTGCATTTGCTTCTTTACTTTTCCAATGATTTCTCATCTGTTGTAGAATAAATGTTTCRATGAATGAATTGTACCGATGGATATTGGGATAGTACTTCTTCTAGTTAGAGAATTAGAGACCGTCCTCTCTTCTAGCTCTGCACAYAGATGCCAGGTAGCTGTGCCCTACACACTCAGGAGGGACAGACAGATATGGGTATATCCTGGGCACTTGGGTACTCTGGGGGGAGAGAAGCTCAGAGGAAGACCATGGAGAAGAGGCCTGAGAGGCAGGCTGGACCCCTGGCCACGGCCCTGCCATATCCCATCCTCGTTGCTGATCTCATTTGTGATGCGCTTTTAAAGTTTGACACTTGGGAAGGAYCTAAGATGGTTGTATTGTATAACAGTTGCTCTGCTGACTATTGTGGAAGTTCAGTGGTACTGAATGTTAAGAGCTCATGGGCTCATTCAGCAAAATCCATGTTGTTGCTTGAGAGAAGACACAGTTTATTCATCAATTCTTCTCTTTCTTGGAAGAAAAATGTGGTGGCAGCCACAGCCGCAGAAGCATCACCAGATTTGTATCCTACAGGTTCTGCTATTAGTCAAGATGCGGATGCCTGTAAAATTACAAGTTCAAAATGAAAAAAAAAAAATGGAAAACCTCAGGAAAAAGGGAAACCATTAATGTGACCAAACTGTTCAAACAATAACAACTTATGCTAACTAGAGGATTCCTTTCAGCGCTGTTTCTGAAAGAACTTAAAAAAAAWTTAGTAGATAATCAATGAGACTTGGAAATCTTTAGTACAGAGAACAAAGTCAGGAAATAGCAGGTTCATGGGGCAAGAGGTTTTATTGATTGCTGTAGGACAGGATAATTATTGCTTTGTAACCAGAGGCAGCAGTTGTTCCAGAGGGAATAGGAGAATCTATTTTTTGAACAGGGATTTTTGTTTGTGTGGTTTTTCTTAGAGAGCTAATATAGTGGTAGATTCTGCTGCTGTACCTAGTTGGTCTCTGTGTGGATAAACCTGAAAGGCATCCCAGAATACGAAGAGTTACAGCAATCTCTGATCTATTGCTTCTCCTTGGGAGGGCTCCATGGTGATAGAGAAGGTTCACTACAGATCCCAGGAATCAAAGTGGCCTAAAGGAAGGGGCACTGTGGTTGGAACAGAGATGTGAATTCTTGCTCTGCATTCACTTAGCTCTGTGGGTGAATCCTCCACACCCAGAGTTCTTACCTTTTTAAATTTTTAAAATTGAGGTGGGGTCTCACCGTGTTGCCTGCCTGACCTCTCTTAGCTTGCCCTCATCTTTGAAATGAGGGGTTGTAGTATATAATCTCTGTAGAGCTTTCCAGTATGAAATTCCTTGGTTTATGATCCTTGTGAGGGAAGGGAGGAAGGGAGGAAGGGGTGGGTGCTGGTGTTCCTATTTTATGCTTGAAGAATGGAGTTCGTTTTTCATTGAGGATCCATGCACATCTTTCCAGACCACCAGAAATAAAGTTTCTTGGGTGTTCCTTTGGGGGATGATGAAGTTTTATTGACCGAGGATTGGGAGCTTTTAACTAGGATAAAAGTTATCCCGAATGCCAGGGTAGAATTTCCCTCAGTAGAGACTTGGACCCCCTTTTGGAACCCAGAGGATACTACATGCAAGAAGGGAGGGGACACCTTTCCTGCCCAACTGAGATTGTGGACTCCAGACCCTCAGGACCGGTTGGGATGTCCACCATGGCCTTCTGTCTTCTGCAGTCACTGTGTTGAGAGTGATTTTTATTATTTTAGGTGTTAACTTTACAGGGCACATAGAACCCTTTACAGTTCTATATTTTCTTGCCTCACTATTTTAGATTAATTTCATGATTGAATTAATGTGAGTTGTCATTATTATGTTAAACGTTATGAGGAAGGAAAAATAGCACAGCAGTGGGGCCGGTGTATGTCATTGCGATGTGATTCCCATCAGCAAGTCAGGGAACTCCATTAACAAGGACATATTCAGAGCGACTGGGTTCAGTGGCCAATCTGCTGTTCAGAGAGCAGTGTTCCTGCCTGGGGGCTAATCGGCACTAATCTTTCATATTAAAAGTATTAAGGAACATTTTACATTAAAGCATCACTAAGTGCAGTGGGGGATTATGGCTCTTATTAGTGGAACAAAATGTAGAACGTTTTGACTTAGTAAATCAATAAGGCTTGATTTATTCATAAGCACATGCAAAGCTTGCAAAGGGCAACTGCCAAATAATTATTGTTTATGGTGATAATGCAAGGAAATCATTTAATCCAGTGACTGTTTCATTGTTATTTATCGAGAAGTAGCAACATTACCCCTTAATGTCAGGGGTTGGGGAGCTTTGAAGTTCTAGCTGGCGCCTCCTGAGTCCCTGAAACGATGTTCCTAGACGAGAGTGCAGGTAAATCTGTGTGATGATGCATATCCAAATAAAACCCCTCGGCTTATAAATGGAGAAGTATTTATGTGCGCTTTCTACTGTTGCAGTAAAAGTATTGGAATTACAGTGCCTTAGGAATCATGCCACTAATTTTTATTTTCGCCATTATTAAAATTTCTGTAATTTGCATTGCAAACTCTGCAGTCTTGCCAGAATGACTCTATTTACCATTCAAAGTTGAATCACAATTACTGGAGTTAGTTAATATATAACTTATTTGAATAAAGGAATGTTTATTCATGAAGTGTGAGGAGAACGTGTGAAGATTGGCCTTATGTTATGTGGGT